TACTACCTGCATTTCATTTATTATTATTATTATTATTATTTTTACTATTTATTTATTTATACGTTTGTTTATATATTTATTTATTTAGTTTGTTATTTCTGGTTTTCAGGTGAAATGGACATGTGTCCTTATATGTGCTATTATTACTATTAGTAGCAGTATTGTTATTTTAATTATTATATTATGTTTAAATGTTTATTTTATTTTAACCTAATAAAGATACAAACAAATACATAAATAAGCCTGTAGGACTGATTTTGGTATTGTGACGACATTTTCCCCAGAAATCTTATTCCTGCAATACAGAAATGAATGTTTTATTAAATGGTTAAATTATTTACCTTCTTTCATTTCTAAAAATACCATAAATTGAATTCAGTACAACAAATGCCACCATAAAGTGTACTTAAAATTGGGCTTCAAAAAAGAACAAAGAAAAAAAAAGCCATTTAATTTACTACTATAGATTTTTGAAAGAATACCTGGGCATTTCTTAAGTTTCTGTAAATATCTCCGTAATACAACTCTATGAGGAAAAAACTAAACACCCTGTCTTTGTGGTTCACAAAACAAACACGCTTGTAGTCCATCAAGGTAGCGCTAGGAGAGGAACTTCCTGTTATGTGAGAGCTGACTATACACACAGACACAGAGTCTTTTTCAGTTATCACCCCCTCCCTTTTTTAACAGGAAGCTGTTTTCCCCCCATATCCAAAGAGGAAACATCTGTAGCTTATTTCCAAACCCTAATACACACACACACACACACACACACACACACCAGTAAAGCCATTTTCCGGATTGACTCAAAAACATCTCAAAAGCATCTATTTTTCCTGGTATATGTTTTACAGGTATAGACAATCAACAAAAAAAAAACCCAAAGAAGAATTGCACTGTGAAAGAAAAAAAGCCAGATGTGCCACAAAAGTTTTCCACTGCAGCCAAAAAACGGCAGGAACGACAATCATGTGACCAACCAGAAATCTCCCACTACGGCCGCCCAGGGAGGAAGTGAGAGTGGGGGAGTGAGTGTACGTCTGTGTGTGTGTGTGCGGTAGTAAAAGTCCACATCACGAACTGTCACTATTCCTGTAAAGGCGGAGCCAAGCAGTCGCTTGTGGTTACCTTAATGGTTTCCTGCTGGCTAGCGATGTTTACAGTAAAGACTGGACCCTCCCCTCAAAAAGAGAGATGAGCATAAATATACAGTTTGCGTTCTGTCTTTTTTGTTCGCTCACTCACACACACACACACCTCCCTACACACTCACTCTCCCCCGGGCCAGAACAGGAAGTATCCACAGGATTTCCCCTCTCGCTCACATGAAAGCTGAAACATGACACCAAACACACCCAAAACACCAAAACAGACAAGCGAATCAGTTTCTAAAACACACTCAAATGTCACTACAAATACACATCCTCACATTCCTTTTTATAGTTTTATAGGTTTGAGAATGTTTTGTGTGTACCTGAAAGAGTGACCCGTGGCCCTGTAGCCTGGCTGGGCTGAGAGGGGCTACGGGACTCAGGCTGCTCCAGAAATGAATGGAGGACAGGAGAGGACTGGGTGTCAACAGCAAACCAGAGGGAGTCTGAAGAGAGAGAGAGGTGTAGGGGGAGGTATTGGGAAAGGGGGGGACAGGAACATTATTTTGTTTTTTGATGTTATTTGTATTAGTCACTGAAGTCATGGATCATAAAATCCCAGTGTCTTTTTGAAACTTTGGAAAGAGAATGTGAGTCTCTGCATGTCCAGACACGTCTTTGCGTCAGTTTGCAGGCGATAGTATGTGAAGCCTGTCATGCACAAGTAGTCTGAGAACCCCTTTAAAAAAATCTTCCCAGATTTTTTCACCTGAACAGGACAAATTTGGAGCGTCAAAGGTATTTAGCACAAATGCAATGCCTGTAAGCAGTAGGACGACGGTTCTGGACATAGCTGACGCTTATTTTATCTGTCCAAGCGGATGGAGCATTTTGCTCAATCTCATGTTATGAAATAACTTTCTGTCTGTTGTAGATGTTTCAGTATGTCTAAAGCAACAGTTCACCCCCAATTAAACTTCCGTCATGTGCTCAAACTCATGTCATTCAAAATCTGTTTAACTTTGTCTTTTGTGGACAATTGTCCCAATTTAAATTTTCCGAAGGTGATCAGGGACTGTTAAACTCCAAAACAGGGTTGCCAGGTTTTCACAACAAAACCCGCCTAATTGCTACTCAAAACTAGCCTAATTGTGTTCTGGGGGATAGAGTGTACGTCTGTGTGTGTGTGTGTGTGTGCGGTAGTAAAAGTCCACATCACGAACTGTCACTATTCCTGTAAAGGCGGAGCCAAGCAGTCGCTTGTGGTTACCTTAATGGTTTCCTGCTGGCTAGCGATGTTTACAGTAAAGACTGGACCCTCCCCTCAAAAAGAGAGATGAGCATAAATATACAGTTTGCGTTCTGTCTTTTTTGTTCGCTCACTCACACACACACACACCTCCCTACACACTCACTCTCCCCCGGGCCAGAACAGGAAGTATCCACAGGATTTCCCCTCTCGCTCACATGAAAGCTGAAACATGACACCAAACACAAACACGCTCCCAAAACAGACAAGCGAATCAGTTTCTAAAACACACTCAAATGTCACTACAAATACACATCCTCACATTCAGATTCCTCTTTTTATAGGTTTGAGAATGTTTTGTGTGTACCTGAAAGAGTGACCCGTGGCCCTGTAGCCTGGCTGGGCTGAGAGGGGCTACGGGACTCAGGCTGCTCCAGAAATGAATGGAGGACAGGAGAGGACTGGGTGTCAACAGCAAACCAGAGGGAGTCTGAAGAGAGAGAGAGGTGTAGGGGGAGGTATTGGGAAAGGGGGGGACAGGAACATTATTTTGTTTTTTGATGTTATTTGTATTAGTCACTGAAGTCATGGATCATAAAATCCCAGTGTCTTTTTGAAACTTTGGAAAGAGAATGTGAGTCTCTGCATGTCCAGACACGTCTTTGCGTCAGTTTGCAGGCGATAGTATGTGAAGCCTGTCATGCACAAGTAGTCTGAGAACCCCTTTAAAAAAATCTTCCCAGATTTTTTCACCTGAACAGGACAAATTTGGAGCGTCAAAGGTATTTAGCACAAATGCAATGCCTGTAAGCAGTAGGACGACGGTTCTGGACATAGCTGACGCTTATTTTATCTGTCCAAGCGGATGGAGCATTTTGCTCAATCTCATGTTATGAAATAACTTTCTGTCTGTTGTAGATGTTTCAGTATGTCTAAAGCAACAGTTCACCCCCAATTAAACTTCCGTCATGTGCTCAAACTCATGTCATTCAAAATCTGTTTAACTTTGTCTTTTGTGGACAATTGTCCCAATTTAAATTTTCCGAAGGTGATCAGGGACTGTTAAACTCCAAAACAGGGTTGCCAGGTTTTCACAACAAAACCCGCCTAATTGCTACTCAAAACTAGCCTAATTGTGTTCTGGGGGATAAAATACCCTTTTTTTTTTTTTTTGATGGGGTTCCCCTGGTAAATTTCGCATTTTAGGGGCTAAATATCACATTATTGGGGTCGCTTAAACATGAAAAACAACCCGTGACAACAATGTTAACACAGCCCAATTCCGTGGGAAAACCGCGGACTTGGCAACACTGCTCCAAAAAGGCACCATTAAATTAGTCCATATGGCTTGTGCACTATATTTCAAACTTTCTGACGTCATACAATGGAACTTAGTCACGTTAGATGCAATATTGAATGTAAATGGGGATGTGATGGATAGACTTATGGTGTGTACACACCAAACACGAAGCGAATATTCTCATCGTTTACTCACGGGATGTTTTTTTGTCACAATCGTTTGAATAATATCAGCCCATAATGCTCTTCTCCATTTTCTGATACAACCGGTTGTGTCAAACTGGACTTGTCAATAAGCTCTTCGCTGAAAAGCGGATGGAGCATTTTGCTCAATCTCATGTTATGAAATAACTTTGTCTGTTGTAGATGTTTCAGTATGTTTAAAGCAACAGTTCACCCCCAATTAAACTTCTGTCATGTGCTCAAACTCATGTCATTCAAAATCTGTTTAACTTTGTCTTTTGTGGACAATTGTCCCAATTTAAATTTTCCGAAGGTGACCTTAAATAACAGTAAAAACCATTGAACGCACTGTACTTCTATCCCTTACAGCCTCATTTTCATTCCTGTCAAAAATTAAATATGGCGTTATCCTAACTAAGGTCTATAGGAACAGGCTGATAATTAAGACAGAAAAACGTCCCCTTGAGAACTCGAGCAGCTTAACTTGTATTTTACTAAAGTATAGGGTATAATTTTTTGATATTTCTAACCGTGCATACTTTGTATGCTCAGCTCGCACATGCGCCTTGTATTGTTTTTACACTACTTAGTTTGACCACAAGGTGACAACACTCCATGACCCGTTGTTTACAGTAAAAAAAAACAAGCGAATGTTACAACAACAAAAAAGTACTGGTGATGGCCACAACAATAAACTATCACACTGCATAGTTCTAGGAACTCAGAAAAGTAAAGAACACAATGCCGCAGACAACAGGTAAATACCGTTATCGTGGTTTTCCATGTTCGTGGAGTAAATATTTTTAAATGGCTTTTTAAAAATGCCGGGTAGTCAGTGTTTTTTTTTTTTTTTTGATGGGGTTCCCCTGGTAAATTTCGCATTTTAGGGGCTAAATATCACATTATTGGGGTCGCTTAAACATGAAAAACAACCCGCGACAACAATGTTAACACAGCCCAATTCCGTGGGAAAACCGCGGACTTGGCAACACTGCTCCAAAAAGGCACCATTAAATTAGTCCATACGGCTTGTGCACTATATTTCAAACTTTCTGACGTCATACAATGGAACTTAGTCAAGTTAGATGCAATATTGAATGTAAATGGGGATGTGATGGATAGACGTATGGTGTGTACACACCAAACACGAAGCGAATATTCTCATCGTGTTATCACTCTAGATTACTCACGGGATGTTTTTTTTGTCACAATCGTTTGAATAATATCAGCCCATAATGCTCTTCTCCATTTTCTGATACAACCGGTTGTGTCAAACTGGACTTGTCAATAAGCTCTTCGCTGATTGAAAAGGTTCCTCCGGTGCGAAAGCCCCTATAGACACCTGCGATGACAAATGGGGTTAACAGATATTGGAAACTCTAGTTTAAATGTGTAAAACGTTCGGAGAGAAATAGCGCAAACACTGGACAAGGATGAAAAGTCATACATGTTTAGAACGACATGAGTGTAAGTAAACGATGACAAAGTAAATTTTTGGGTGACCTGTCCCTTTAAGAGAGAAAGTGGGAGAAAAATCCACACAAGCATGTAGCTTCCCATGGGTCATGGACTTTGGATCACCAGGTTGTGGCTATAGGGCAGCATGTGAAATCAATTTCTCGTTCTTGCTCAGTTTTTCTCTGTCCTGTGTCACTATGCTGTAGTGTGTGAGATTACGGACATATGGCTTTACTTACAGGTCTCTCTTTTCTCGCTTATGCTATTCCGTCTGTCTTTTTCCTCTTCCTGTCTCACTATACCTCTTTTTAAAAACCCGTCTGCCTGCCACGCATTTCTCCCTACACACCCAGTAAAGACCAAAACGTCTCATAGAATAGCTGTATTACCAGTATAGGTGTGTGTCCTGTCTATTTGTTACCTGTTGAACACTTATAAACAGTGCCGGAGAGGATGTTTTTGTGTTCATTTATAGCTCAGTTCCAAAACCTGAAAGCTTCCTACAACGAAATGAAACCTAATACGAAAGCTCTACACAGGCAGCAACTAAATACTAGTGCAAAATTTGCTTCTTGCTAAGCTAACAACATGATACGCTGCCATAAAAATGTATAAAAGTACATTGCATTTATATTGTACTATAGCATTTTTTTTTTTTTTTGATGGGGTTCCCCTGGTAAATTTCGCATTTTAGGGGCTAAATATCACATTATTGGGGTCGCTTAAACATGAAAAACAACCCGTGACAACAATGTTAACACAGCCCAATTCCGTGGGAAAACCGCGGACTTGGCAACACTGCTCCAAAAAGGCACCATTAAATTAGTCCATATGGCTTGTGCACTATATTTCAAACTTTCTGACGTCATACAATGGAACTTAGTCACGTTAGATGCAATATTGAATGTAAATGGGGATGTGATGGATAGACTTATGGTGTGTACACACCAAACACGAAGCGAATATTCTCATCGTTTACTCACGGGATGTTTTTTTGTCACAATCGTTTGAATAATATCAGCCCATAATGCTCTTCTCCATTTTCTGATACAACCGGTTGTGTCAAACTGGACTTGTCAATAAGCTCTTCGCTGATTGCCTTGCGCAACAATGCATCTTGAAATTTTTCAACTTGCGCAGAAGATGCGATTGAAGCATACATTGCACATTCGTGGCAATCGCATTGCCCAATTCACATAATTCACGGTGCCTGGCGCAAATTCACGTCTTTGCATTGACTTTATATGTAATCCTACTCGCGTGAATAATTAAATTTGCTTTTGGTGTGCACACACCATTACAGTCTTTACAATGGCACACAGTCAATGAAAGTCCTAGAATTCGTAATTCTCGCCAACTTTCAAAAGGGTTTATGGAGTTTCATCGGCTGGACAGTCAGTATGCTCTTAAATAACAGTAAAAACCATTGAACGCACTGTACTTCTATCCCTCACAGCCTCATTTTCATTCCTGTCAAAAATTAAATATGGCGTTATCCTAACTAAGGTCTATAGGAACAGGCTGATAATTAAGACAGAAAAACGTCCCCTTGAGAACTCGAGCAGCTTAACTTGTATTTTACTAAAGTATACTTCAGTTACTCTAGGCTAGGGTATAATTTTTTGATATTTCTAACCGTGCATACTTTGTATGCTCAGCTCGCACATGCGCCTTGTATTGTTTTTACACTAATTAGTTTGACCACAAGGTGACAACACTCCATGACCCGTTGTTTACAGTAAAAAAAACAAGCGAATGTTACAACAACAATAAAGTACTGGTGATGGCCACAACAATAAACTATCACACTGCATAGTTCTAGGAACTCAGAAAAGTAAAGAACACAATGCCGCAGACAACAGGTAAATACCGTTATCGTGGTTTTCCATGTTCGTGGAGTAAATATTTTTAAATGGCTTTTTAAAAATGCCGGGTAGTCAGTGTTTTGTGTGCGTTTGGCCAATCAGTGTACACTGCGTCAATTATAGTTCCTATAGAACTGTTTTACACCCTACTCTATTATAATAGCTAATTTAGATCCCCCAAATGGAGTTCCTAGAACTAAATAGGTTCCTAGTTCTTGCAGTGCGAACACGCCAAAAAGCGGGAACTTTCGCCAATAGTTCTAGGAACTATGAAAAGGTTCCTCCGGTGCGAAAGCCCCTATAGACACCTGCGATGACAAATGGGGTTAACAGATATTGGAAACTCTAGTTTAAATGTGTAAAACGTTCGGAGAGAAATAGCACAAACACTGGACAAGGATGAAAAGTCATACATGTTTAGAACGACATGAGTGTAAGTAAACGATGACAAAGTAAATTTTTGGGTGACCTGTCCCTTTAAGAGAGAAAGTGGGAGAAAAATCCACACAAGCACGATCGATTAGTGACAAAGCGAATCACCGTTTGTCCCTCCTCCCCTCTTTCGCCCCCTCGCTGCTTCTCGATTTTGATTGGATGCAGCAGTGGAGGCGGGCTTTGGAGGGAACTGACTGTAAAGGACGAGTACAGACCAGAGTGGAGATACTCGTTCCTGCAGGTGGGGCTTCTCAGCGATGACAGCGACAGCTTTGGAGACTCCTCCCCCTCGCCACAATCTGACTCCACCTCCTGCAACATGATGCCCCCTGCGACGTGACCCCCGTCCCGACCGAGCTCCACCGCTTGGGGATCCATCTTCAGAATATCAGGGAATGAGACGAACTTGTATACAAACTTCTGGCCAATCACCTTCTTTATGATGTTCTGCAAAAGAAAAAGGATTACAATACACTCAAATGGCAATTCGTAACAATTTTACCTGAATTGGTGACTAATTCGTACGAATTTGTACAATCTTGGTCATACGTTTTTTAGTACAATCTGCTAATGCCCCATTGACGGTTGGTTGTAGGGGTGTAAAATTTTCCATACAAATCACATCGTATAAATTCACTACAAAATCGCCACCTCGTAAAATTGTTGCATTTATCTAATACGAGCGGGTGTAACCTTGTCATAGTAGTAGCGTAGTGCTCGGCTAAGTTTGTCGTAGTTCATGTTGGTCTTGTTCTTGCGCAGGCCCCAGAGTTTGGCGACTTCTTCCGATTTGAGTAGCTTGAACTCGCCATCGTTGGATGTCCAGCAAATCAGGTGCTTATGGCTCTGGTCCAGCAGTAGCTGCAGCAGAAACTGCCACAGCGTGATAGCACTCTCCATATCTGTCAGACAAGAGAGGTAAAATTATAAACATTAACAGTTTACATTTTAATAATCATAATCGGGCTGATATTCTTTTCCAGAACCTAATTAGAACCTAGTTAAATGTTTTTTTTAAAGATCTGTTCACTGAAAAGTTCGGAACCAAAAATGGTTCTTCTTTTTCGATGTGGAAAACCCATTTTTGTAACCTTTATCTTTAAGAGTGTGGGGTCATTAGACCAATTCAGATTGTGAGTTTGAGATTGTTTGTGAGTATTTTTGATGGATTCATTCCAAGGAATCAGTTAGAGTCATTTGTTCATAAGTCAGACTCTACAGTTCACACTGTACACTCTTACAAAAAAAGAAAAAGGTTCTTTATTGGCATCAATAGTTCCATGAAGAACCTTTAACATCCATGGAACCTTTCCAATGCGCAAGGTTCTTAAAAAATTACTTTTGATTAACACATGCTCTACACACTAAGAAAAAATGGTTCTTTTGAGAACTTTTAAGGAAAGATTCGATAGATTTAAAAGGTTCTTCATGGAATGCTAATATAGAAACTTTATTTTTAAGACTGTTGCTGTTTTGTAACAAAGCTGTTGCTTCTTGTTCTGATTTAAAATGTGTATATCGTTGTAACCGAGGTGAGAGTGTGGCGTAATTTCCAAAGAGTTTCAATCTAATTCAAATTAGCCAAATTTACACTCTGTCTGCATGCATTGTGTGTTTATTGGGAAAGAAAAGGTGGCTTAAGGACACGTTTCATGACCCTAACAAGGATTAAGGATCTGAAGGAAAATGCTGTGGTACCCCAAAGCCAAATTTAGTATATGTCTGTGAATAAGCGTGGACCGGCGCGTTGTTTCAATTGATCTGATAATCAGACATCCTTCCCAGCTTTACTGCATTCGTAAAATAAAAAAACTTCCTTTAACAATATTCTTGCAGGTTTTGAACAGGAAGTGGTGAAAAGGGAGAGGCCAGAGCATCAGCCGTACAAACGCGGCCACATTAAAGAATGCTCCTGAATTCATCATCTTCCTTTAATTTCCCCTTTTCCCTCTGCACTCTTCATCTCTCGCATGAACAAAAAACGTCATTCCTGAGTGCCCTCCCACAAACTCTGCAAGCATTTCCTGTTCTGTTGTACATTAACGCACAGGCTCATAAACAACAAAGAGCTATCAGCCAGAAAGACTGACACGGGAATTAATTGCAAATAAGCAACATGTTCCAGCACCGACCGTGCTGCTGAACTCTCTGGGACAGAGGTGTCCTCTCAAAGGCAAGCAAATACACCTACTGGTGAACAGAGATTACTAACGGTAAACATGGAGTTTATTCACAAAATCCTGTTTAGGAACAGATTAGGGTGACCAGGTAGAGATAAGTAGGATTATGGGGGCACAAAATAGTTCAAATGTCCCAAAACTAGAGCCAAAACCTACAACAAACAGAAAGGGAATTCTTAAAGGTATAGGTCACTCAAAAATGAAAATTCAGTTCAAAACGCCAATACAGTTCAAAGATTTGGGATCATTTAGTTTTGCTCTTTAAAGAAATAAAAATTTTTACATTAAAAAACACCAAATTTTTAAACGATAGTGTTGCTATATCGGCGTTCCATTTGATCAAAATACCGGCTGATCCAGAATAACAGTAATAAAAACATGAAGTCAAACACTTCCCTTTAAAACTGATCTGCTGCATAATCCTTGAACATCACCCAAACCGTTATTATCAGACTTTAATACTGCCAAAATTAGTCCAACATGCACAGACACACATACTTAATCTTTATACACCATGGCCGCCCATGTTGAAGATAAAGACTGATAGATCGTCCAGTTTTTGTGAATGGGTTTCAGAGCACAAAATGGTTAAAAGTGCTCTTTATATTCTGGCGCTGTGGTTGGATACAGACAGGAAGCTGCGATCTCACGAAACAGGATGTGCACAATGATATCTGCTCACATTCCTTCAAGAAACCTTAGACATAAGCAGAGCCTTTCATTGTAACATTTATATAGTTTGGACAACATGATTTGAGTGATGCTAAACTGTCCTGCACAAGACATTAAAAAAACTGACAAAAAAAGACAAATTAATTATTTTCAGCACACTTAGATTTAGACAACAAAGCTGCACTCAGTCTGGATCCATTGGGTGTAAGATAAGGATTTTCTAATGAACAGGAGTGAGTTTTTTCATCCATGTGGTCTGGGATCGACTCCCAACAGGAAGGTGCAGTGGTTCAATGTTAAAAGCCCAACAGTACAGGAAGTTTAAATCTTGCTTGGGCCACTTCCTGTGACCGCTGTCGTCATGCCCTTTAGCCACATGCTTACCTTTAGTGTACTCTCATAACCTCTTCATCTACATCCCTGGTTAAAGTTTAGGAAATATAAAAATTATATATACTTTACAAAACATGTACACTTTGACCAGGGGATGCAACATTTTCATTGTTTTATTGAGCTTTTTATGGTAACAAGTCTAACGTTTTACTTTTCAAACAACAGGCAAGTTAACCTGTTACAAGTTAAAATAACAAGCTGAAAATGAAATGCAATATACAATTAGGAACGTACAACAATGAAAAAAGAACTAACATAAATAAATGTAAATATAAAATTAGAAATAAGTATTTTCAGTACACTTGCTACTTGCTACTCTTTCATTTAAATATAAATAATTAAAATATGTTTCATAACTTAATTATCTATTTTTTAATTATGAAAAATCATGAAATCACTTTAGATTAGAACATAAACAAACAAATAAATAAAAATAGACCAGTTGCTTACAAACAAACAAATAAATAAAGCACCATAAAATTATCATAAAAGTAATCCAATATGATTTGTGCACTATCAAGTCTTCTAAGATCACATAAAAGCACACGTTTCAATATGTGCATGTTTTCATTGTATGAAAAAGAGCAGCATGAACATTGTTCAAAATTTCTCAGAACGTTTCAGAACAGAGAAAATGAAGCGGCTTTTTTGGAACATCATGATGGCTCATGAACGACTACAGACTTTTCATTTTTAGGTAAACTATCCCTTTAAGAAACATGCATATACTTAATATGTTGTAGCACAGAGTTTCTGCTTATTTTCAATGGATAACTGGTGTATAAACAAATTGAAGTTGAGGGGATGGTGTTGAGTGTTGGGATGCAGGACACCAGGAAGCCCTGGGTGGAGGAACAGTAAAGGACCTCAGGTTGAGGTCTGAGAGGCGTTCAATAGACATGAGGAAACCAGTTTGACTCGTATTCATAGCTGTCAAATGTGTGTGTGTGTTTGAACACACTCCTCAGTTTTAACTAGCGTTACATCATGCCCTTTGGTAGCTGTAAGTCAGTCAAACAGGGCGGGCTGGCGTTTACTGCAGCCTTCCTGCTGTCTGAGCCAACACTCTCCCGAGACGGATGGAGGGAACGAACGAGACGGAGTGGTAGATGGAGAAACAAGTTTGGATGACTCACACGTGTGGATAGCTCTGACACGGAGCATGTTTTATTGGCCAAGTGGAACTCCCTGGTTGCAGACGGCCTTATTTTGGGAAAGTTTTTGTCATATTTTTGACAAAGACACAAACATAAACTTTCACCCTGGTTTTCGCTCATCAAACTGCCGGCTCTGGAAGTCATCAAGGGATTGATCAAATAATGAGCCGATAGGAGCAAACGACCCCAAACTCTAACAGGACAGGCTAAAATCAAACCTAATGAAGTCAACATGAAATGGTGTTCGTGACACATTATGCTTCTGTAATGTGATGTATTTCCAAATAATATCATTGGGAATCAGTAAGATTATGAAAAATGGTTGCAAAATGAGTAAATATAATATAATATAATATAAAAAATATTTAAAAAGAAAAAAAGAAAAGTTATTATATTTTTTGATATAGTAAAGTGATGTATTTTCTAATAAAACACTTGGTTTTATCCATTGGGAATCAACTGGATCATGAAAAATTTGTAAATATTGTAAGAAAATAATAAAACTAAAGTTTTAATAGTAAAATTTAGTAAAGTTTTTTTGTTTGTTTTTCGTTTTGATTTGGTAATGTGACATATTTAAATAAAACACTTGATTTTATCCTTCAGGAGGCAATTTAATTGAGAAAAATGGTTGGAAAATTAGTAAATATTTTAAGAAAATTAGAAAAGTAAAAGTTTATTACATTTTGATGAATAGACATTTCTGAATAAAACTTTTGATTTTATTCACCGGGAATCAATGTTGTGAAAAACGTTTGCAAAATGAGTAAATGTTTTAAGAAAATACGAAAATAAAAATGTTTAAATAAAACACTTGATTTTATCCTTCAGGAGGCAATTTAATTGTGAAAAATGGTTGGAAAATTAGTAAATATTTTAAGAAAATTAGAAAAGTAAAAGTTTATTACATTTTGATGAATAGACATTTCTGAATAAAACTTTTGATTTTATTCACCGGGAATCAATGTTGTGAAAAACGTTTGCAAAATGAGTAAATGTTTTAAGAAAATACGAAAATAAAAATTTTATTACATTTTAATGTAGTAATGTAACATTTGTACATAAAACACTTAAGTATCCATCAGAAATCAACTGAATTGTGAAAAATGGTTGGAAAATTTGTAAATATTTTAAGAAAACAAGTAATTTTTTTTCACTTTGGAATAACAATCAGTGGATAATTCCTGAAATCCTGGAACATGTATTAAGATTTTGATTTCATGTTGACTTTCTGCTTCATAATTTGGTGTGCACGACTTTAATTTTTGTCTTTTCAGATGCTTTTGGTTGGAATATCAGCCAGAGGGAGTGTAAAGAGACACAGATTCGGCCAAACCTGTGGTGACAAAGGAGGAAGTGCTCAGAAAATGCTGCCAATACAGGCTACAGATATTTATCAGGAAGTATTATGTGCTTTCTCACACACACACACATGCTCTTTGAATACTCAAACAAGTAATTTTTTTTCACTTTGGAATAACAATCAGTGGATAATTCCTGAAATCCTGGAACATGTATTAAGATTTTGATTTCATGTTGACTTTCTGCTTCATAATTTGGTGTGCACGACTTTAATTTTTGTCTTTTCAGATGCTTTTGGTTGGAATATCAGCCAGAGGGAGTGTAAAGAGACACAAACAGCAAGATTCGGCCAAACCTGTGGTGACAAAGGAGGAAGTGCTCAGAAAATGCTGCCAATACAGGCTACAGATATTTATCAGGAAGTATTATGTGCTTTCTCACACACACACACATGCTCATTGAATACTCTTCTACATATGTGACACAGATCTCATTATACATACTCATGTAGCAATTTACAGTCACATCTCATACTTAACTCTTGGGCAGAACATGAAAGCTCGCCGTACGCCACATACCCATTTATTTGTTTCCAAACCCCCAAAGAAGTGAAATAAAACCATTTCCTGCTCCAGCATCCTCTGAGCGGAGCATCTGCGTTAAACGACCGTAAAACTGTCTATATCAGGACTTCCTCCAATTCTCCTTTGAAGGGCGTCTTCCTGGGAATGCCGAACCTGAACTGAAAGGTAGGAATTCCTGCTGCGGGGAGCAAACACGGGAACACGGGGACCACACGGACACAAGGCACAAATGGGAGGCTTCCTCTTCTCTTTTCATGCTGGCACAAACCTCTCGCCCATATGGACATCTAAAGACAGACATGCTTTGTGTGACACAATGATCAACGGACTCACTGATACCCAGATTTACTGCCCTAATCAAAGGGAATAAACAGAGCGAGCTGATTTCAAAAGCTCTTGGCAGTTTGGAGAGGTTTCTGCACGGAACGTGGCTGTAAAAGTCATTGTTAGATTATCGCAAGAGGGGAAAAATTGGAAAAAAAACTGCACATGCAAAGTCTCTTTTTTTAATCTTTCAATATGAGCAATGACATAAACTGTGCAGAAGCCAAGTCTGAACCCTTAGCCAGGATTTTCTAAGACACACAAATAAATAAAAGACAGTGTGCGCTAAACAAAAAGACACACTCGAACATAGCGCTGCATTGGCTCTGTTCTTCTGCCGTTGTCTGGCATGCATCAGCTTCATGGTCATTGGGTTTAAAGATGTTTTAACACACTGCATGAAATTTGGGATGAAATAAGTGAAGTTTATTTCACAGTTTTTACAGTTAGATGGCATCAGTAGGTCCATGGGGATTCTGTCTCTCAACATCCGCTTGTCAATCAATCATGTTTGTTTATTAAATATTTTAACAATAAGAGTAGTACTCTTTATTTCTGTTTAACCATGTTTTTCCCCCAAATAGTGAAGGAAATGTGAAAAAAGTCTACAGATGCCATCTAAGCCTAAGCATCAGTAAGAAAATTAACTGTTTTAGCACTTTAAATGTCTATTTGCCTCAGAAAAACTCTCAATTTCTGAGTTTACTTTGTAGAAAATACACTGAACAAATTTGTTGTGAAGTAAATACAGCGGAAAATATTGATTATTTTCTCCAATAAATTATCTGAACTTTAAAATCTACTCAAATACTTATTTGCTTCTTTGATTTATCTATAACGGTGTCTCATATTAGTTTCAAAGTAGAAAACTTTGCAATAGATTTTAAAAAGTATAACATTTAATAAAACTACCTACATTTACAATGCACTGTTCCCATATTGCATTGGGGAATGAATAATTAAGGTCATGTTTTTGCACTATTTGCCAGTTTTATTTGCACTTTTGTTAATTTTCCTGTTATATTCTTGTTTTGCGTTTCGAGTTAATTTTCTACTGCTCAAAAATTACCCACCATAATTGTGTTTTGTGTACCAAAAATTTAGCTAGTTGTAGTTAGTTTCCAAAAAATGATCATTGTTCATGTATATTCATTATTTAATTTAGATGTTATTTAGTTTTACTATTTTAAATACAACTACAATTACAAGTTGCAGATATATATGAATTTTAGATATACGTATTTAATATTATTTTACAAAGTAGATTTTACTTAATTTTATACGGTCAAAATGTACTACTAAAAATTTTCAGTGTACAGCTGAACTTTTTTTTCTCTGATTGCCACAGGTGAGAAACTCTATTGGAGCTTGTTTTCAAAAAATGCCAATGGAAAACACCAAGAAAACTCATGCGCACCATCAAATCTATCCAACCCATCTAACCATACAGGAAGTAGACAGGAGGAACATGTCTGTAGACAACAGCTCAGTCTGTCAGTGGCTTAACAGGCAACATATACTGCCTGATAAGGCTGATTTTTAAAGTTTCACACACTGCGTGTGCATGTGCGTGTATATATAAAAAGGGAAAGAGGAGAATCTTTCAGGTAAGAAGATGCACTCCAGGCTCTCTCCAGCGTAAAGTGACACGCTCACACCCTTCAAGACTCATGCAACAGACACGCAGGGACAGAAACTCAAAAACCCCAAGCCCAGTGTTTTGAATGGCCCCTAGACAGCTTTTAAACACCAAACTTGCTGTCGCGCTCACAAACCCCTCCACTGTAGCGCCAGCGGAAACTCATAATGAGATTAGTTGGTGTGCGCAGACATTACTTCGCCATGACTAAATGTGCGCTCTTCCTGCACACACAGACTGCAGTGGAAAATTCAGGGAGCTCCTGCTGAAGAGAGGGAGAAAAGAGAGCCGTGAAGGACTTCTCTCCACGACCACATTTCTCCAGAGAGAGCTGCAGCTCTTGAAATTACGCAGACAGATCCGAGAACGTCTGGCGGCGTGACTGTGTCCATATAGTGGCTTCAGAAAGAGTGCAGACACTTTAAAATATCATAGCTTTTAGTAGCAAAATATCAAAAAGGAAACATTCCTTATACTTTAAACTAGATTTTGGAATGCTTGCATTAAACTTTTTTTATTTATTTATCAGGTTGGCTGTTCTATTGAAATGATGGTTCCTCTTTTAAGCAATTTCATGGAAAATACAGAAATATTATGGCACAAAAATATAGATATAATAGTCAAAAAGGGCTTGGAAAGCTTTCCTTGATTACATGAAACTAGATTTCACTGCATTTTACTCTTTGCATTAAACTGTTTGAATCTAACTGGCTGTTTGATCAAAATGATGGTTCCTCTTTTAACCCATTTCAGGGCAAATACAGTAATATTAAGGCTACAAAATACTGAAATGGCAAATAATAATCCTACTACTCACATTTGATTGTTTATTTGTTTTACCACTGAGCTTTTTAAATGTCTTGTGTTTGAAATAATGTCTATGTAAGATGCCAAAACCGGCATAATTGCACATGTATCCAACCCATCTAACCATACAGGAAGTAGATAGAAGGAACGTGACTGTAGACTTTACATGCAGTGTATCCAAAACTTCAAAACAGAAGGAAATGGCATCCAAAGTGGCATTAGATTTAAAGAAAGATGGCACAATCATGCTTTAAAAGCAAAACATTCATTCTAAATTAGAATACAGTAGTTTAAAATGAAGACTATTGTTGTCAGAGTTGAACATGAACTTGACAAACTACACCTGGTTGCTATGCTAGGACACTTGTGGTGAACTTGGGGACATCTTGGGTTAGATCTGAGGAAACTCCAAACACATTTTGGGCTCACAAACATTGATCTCCTCCAATCATTTTAAATAACCCCCAGCATCGTACAGGAGTAACATCAGCTCTAGGCTGAACTGAAGTTTCTTTGTTTGCCCCAATGACTCATTTTCAAGATGCTGTCTGCTGCCAGTTTCAATCCGGAAGCGCATGGCAATTAGTCTGCTGCTGTTTCCAGACAAACCAGAAACTCTACTAGTGCGTTTAAAGCGCCAGGAGCCAAATTTCAGTCTTTTCCAGCAGCCCTGCTTTTGAATGTACAACCAACAAAATCTTTGAAATATACGTCACGAAATCGTGAGCTCAACAGGTATACAAACTTTCCTCAGCCGTGCGTAAACGGTGCGTATATTGCGCGTAAGTAACGGGAACGGTGGACACTTGAATTGTCTTCTGTGTCTGTTATTGCTAAAAAGAGATCTATTCGTGTTTAAACACTAATTACTTTATAACTGTACACATTTAAGTCTCAAACATCACTTCTGAACATTTCAAACAGCTCCGTCGTTTGTATACGTTCATTCTTTTTTTGGGGATATCAAGTTTCAGTCGTGTACTTTGGAAGGTTTCTTCCTTTCAGTGTTATTATTAAGCAATTACACATTTAGAAACATGCATAAAACGTTCGAATAGCATGGATGGATTATTCACATACCTGTGCGTAATGGTCAGGTTTTTTGGGGTCCTTTTTCGCTTTATTAAGAATAATTCCGTATAATGCGCTGTTTTTCCATGCTGTCGGCCGTCTCGGCAGCTCTCAGTCGAACTGTAATGGGATCCCGACTGTTTTCTCTCTCTCTTTCTCTCTCTCTCTCTGAGCAGGAAGTTGGTGCAGGCAGACAGCGAGCCGGCTCACTTCCTCTCGCCGTGCGCTATTCCCCAAGCGCTCGGCCCGTCTGTGTAAACACGCTTTTCCTCCTCCAGCCACCATCCGACGTTCAAGAACACAAGCACACACGCGCACACGCGCACGCAGTATACTGTAATCTGAATCTGCTGCGAGCGGAGCGCACTGACGTCACCCTCTTCCTATCCGGGGCCCGCCGGGAGGAGCCGTGTTCCTTCCTCTACACACATTTTGTATATGTGTGTGTGAGTGCGTGTGTATGTGTGTGTGTCTGATTCTGACGTTTGGGGATCAAGTTGCTTGAAAATGTCCTCATAACTTTACTAAATCAGGGAGGACAAAAAAATGTGGAAAAAAATCTTAAAGAGAATAAATAGGTCATTCTGTGAAATTGGTGGATTTTCCTTTTGAAATGGTGAATTTTGTAAATTTTTAAAGGATTTTAAACATTCTGTTAGACAGAAAAATGTGTTGTAATTTTTAAAAAATGTATACTTGTATACTTATATTTGTACTGAGAATATGATTGCGGGTTCAGAACGGTAAATGGGTTACTTGCCTTGCCAGCCTTGTTAAAAGTGCTTTGAAAATATGTTATTTCCCCACAAATATACACATTTAAACAATTGTAAAAACATAATAATTAAATATATAATTGAATAAATGAGTAAATGACTGAATAAATAATAAATACTTGTCAAGTATGCTTTATTGGCATATCAAATATGCCATATCATATGACATGTGCAATGCAAATACAAGTAACAGCAGTGCAAATAAACAAGTGATATTAACATATAAAATGCCTCTCAAATAATAAAACGTAGGCCTATATCTATTTCTGTAGCTACTACAAATAAATCTCTCTCTTAGTAAATGAGTGGCATGGGGCTCCACAGGGGGGTGGAACCATCTTCCGATTTCCTGGAGGGATATCCACTGACAGGAAGCCGGATCCTACCTACACACACACACACACACACAGACACACTCACACACTCACAATTGACCAGTCTCTTAAACCTCTTCTTTAAATTCAAATGTTGTTAATGTAATAACTGACTGGCTGATATTCATGAATAGGCCTGAATCTGTCCACTTGAGATGTTCACACACTTGACATTTTAAGAGGCATATGAAAACAATTATGATCTCAGTAATAACCCTGTATTTAAAATGTCTGTTCATTTTCCGCCATCTAGTGGAGGGTGAAGACATTACAGCAAGCGCCTGTGAACGTCTTTACAAGAACTGACTGTCAATCTTTAACAGTTACAATTCATGTTGAAATAATAATAATAGAAGGGGTATTATGATATAGCAATTTTTTTTAATAAAATTATATAAAACATATTTATTAAATTAACATGCAATTAAAGCCGGGGGGAAAATTGCATAAATAGGCCTACGTTGTACTTTAAATATGATATGATTTAATTTTCGCGTTACTGTATTCTATTACAATCATGAGAGTAGCCTATGTGCATTACAATAATGTCAGTGCAAAAATCTCAATGGTCAGTTTGATTCTTTCTTTCTTTTTTGACTCTCTCTCTCGCTCTCTCTCTCTGAAGAACTTAAGCAAAATTGTATGTATTTTTATGTCTTTTTATGGTTAAAAATTATTTGCGTGCCGTAATTTATCCATCATATGGGTTCAACGGGAATGGCAGGCATCAAACTTTTTTTTTTTTTTTTAATTTGTGACCATGAACCACAAAACCAGTCATGAGGGTCAATTTTTTAAAATTGAGATTTATACATCATCTGAAAGTTGAATAAATACGTTTTCCATTGATGTATGGTTTGTTATGATAGGACGATATTTGGCCTAGATACAGGAACATTTGAAAATCTGGAATCTGAGGGTGCAAAAAAATTATAATACAAATAAATAAAATATAAAAATATAGAGAAAATTGCCTTTGAAGTTGTCAAAATCAAGTTCTTAGCAATGCATATTACTAATCAAAACATTACGTTTTGATATATTTATGGTAGGAAATTTACAAAATATCTTAATGGAACATGATCTTTACTTAATATCCTAATGATTTTTGGCATAAAAGAAAAATCTATAATTTTGACCCATACAATGTATTGTTGTCTATTGCTACAAATATACCCGTGCTAGTGCTACTTATGACTGGTTTTGTGGTCCAGGGTCACATTTGAGTTGTATGAACACCCTCAGCCACTAGAGGACAGTAGTTCATCGTTCTCGCCATGGTTGTCGCTGAGAAGTAAATAAACTACAACTCCCATGATGCCGTTCACACGGCCGGTGTCACGTGACTGTGTGTGGGTTAAAATCCGTTCGCAGCGCGAGCGGGGTGTTCTCTGTCTCAACCATGACTCCAGTGTCAGACCCCAGTTCTTTCTCCTCTCTCTCCAAGTGCGCTACCAAGCACTTAAATCTCATTTACCATGTTGACTTTGACAGGCACGTGCTCAAAGGAAAAGTCGCCCTGACTGTGGAAGTTCTGGAGGATAAATTCTCTTCTCTGGTACAGTTTTCATTTGGTTCATCAAAGCTGTCATTTTGTTTGCTTGACTTATCACTACACCTCACATACACACCTATGTGTGCATAAGATGCAGTGTGCTTGTGTATGCTTTTACATCGTTATTATTGCTTTAGTTCATGGATTGTTTCTTGAAAAAGATCACTACTACAAGCTAATACTATTTAATTATAAAAACAATTTATTTATCGATGCATGTAAAATATGCTCGTCTTACAGTAACAGTAGTTTCAGCAGGACTGGGTTACATATTTACTTGAACTTGATACATTAATTATATCCGCAGTGTAACCTGATGACATGTAATCGCATTCAAAGTGTGTTGTTTATAAATTTGATACATTTATTCAACCATCAGCGTTTGCAAATGCATGTGCGTATGCTTTGCTTGTCATATTGTCAATAATGTAAAATGTATCTCATCATTAATGAGGTTTATTAGTTACGTACTGTGTACCTGGTTTACTGCACTTGACCTGAACTTTGATCACATTGATGGACTTTTACCTGAGCTTGTTGTACAGGTGCATCTTGTCAGAAGAGTTCAGATAAATCTAAGCTTGCATAACTGCTATGCAGTTTGCATTTCAGAGGTGTGAAGTGAAAACAAATATACCAAACATGGATTGCCATTAATTGTTTTGACAAGATGTGACATCAAGTAATAATAATACGATGGTCATCAACCATAAAATACCTACTATTAAATATCAAAAGTCACGCCTATTTAAACATGAAGTTTGCAACCGTAAACCATAGACCGTAAATGGACAGTTTGTGTTATTATATCTATTTTTCTAACATATTTAGGTATAGTTTTATTTATATCTTATCTTTCTCTCTATCACTTTCGATCCTTCTTTCTAGACACTGGACTCAAAGGACTTGAAGATCTTTAAGGTTTCTGCAAATGGCCAGGCTGCTCAGTTTGCACTGGGGACTAAGCATAAATTTAAGGGATCCCCACTAGAGATCACTCTGCCTTTTGAACTCTCACGGTACTGTCACAAACTTGTTCTGTACTAAGAGATAGCAGTTTGTTTTTCTACTTCTAACGTTTAAGTTATTTCTGTTATGTGATTCACTGCCAAGATAAATGCTCCGTGTAACATGCATGCAAATGCATGCTATGCTTTGCGAACAAAGTTATCACCAGTGAGCTAAATCTGACAAAGTTCCTCAAAGGAAAAAAA